CCTGACACCAGAGGTGGAGGTGGGTGGGTCTGAAGAGGTGGATAGTCTTTGGGAAAGGTCGAGGTCAGGGCAGTTCCCGTGGGCCAGCCCTTTTCAGGAACTTATTGCCCTGGGCATTGTATTGTTTTTAGTAAACATGTTTTTAGTAAACATTGTCTTAGCTGCCTACTCCCAGGCTGATGGGGAAGTGGGTCTCTGCTCAAGGTCTGGTGTCCCCACATTGTGATACAGGTCTTTCACTTGTTTGGTTAGCATTACCCCAAGGTATTTTATGTTGTTTGTGGCAATTGTAAAGGGTGATGTTTCTCTGATTTCTTTCTCAGTCCTTTTATCATCTGTATATAGTAGGGCTACTGATTTTCTTGAGTTGAATTTGTAGCCTGCCACTTTGCTGAAAGTGTTAATCAGTTCTAAGAGTTCCCTGGTATAGTTCTTTGGGTCATTTATGTAAACTATCATACCATCTGCAAATAGTGAAAGTTTGACCTCTTCCTTTCCAATTTGTATCCCCTTGATCTCCTTTTGTTATCATATGGCTCTGGCTAGAACTTCAAGTACAATATTGAAAAGGTATGGAGAGAGTGGACAACCTTGTCTTGTTCCTGATTTTAGCGGAATTGCATTGAGTTTCTGTCCATTTAGTTTGATGTTGGCTGTTGGTTTGTTGTATATAGCTTTTACTATGTTTAGGTATGTTCCTGTTATCCCAGATCTCTCCAAGACCTTTATCATGAAGGGGTGTCAGATTTTGTCAAAGGCTTTTTTCAGCATCTAGTAAGGACTTTCTAAATTATAAAGGCAAAGCAAGACAAAACCACATGTCTTCTTCCATATGTGGTCCTAACTTTGAGTCTTTCATTGCATATGTTTAAATTGAAGCAACTGTACAAGCCAGTAAACTAGAAAGGGGCCACCAGGAGAAACATCTAAATGGGCAGTGGCTAGTAGAAGACAAGTGATAAGAAAGCAAAGAAAGTAATATTATGGATAGAGAGGTTCAAGTAGAGATGGTTGGGGGCACTGGGCAGAAGAGAGGGAGGGATAGGGTTAGGGAAAGTAGAGATTTTTTTATGTTTTTATTTAAATTAGAAACATGCATGCTTCAAATGTCAATCCCAGCTCTCTCTCCCATCCCTCCTCTCTTGTCCCTCCACCAGCCTCCCCCCAACCCCAAACCCAACATCATTCACCAGGGAGGGTGAGGCCCTCCTTGAGGGGATCTCCAGAGTCTGTCACATCATCCAGGGCAGGACCTAGACCCTTCCCCATGTGTGCAGGCTGAGAGATCATCCCTCCATGTGGAATGGGCTCCCAAAGTTCATTCATATGCCGTGGGAAATATTGATCTTCTACTCTGAGGCCTCCTCACTGACACCACATTCAGGGGGTCTGTATCACTCCCAGGCTGGCCTCTCAGCCATCAGTCTGGGGTTCAAGAGCTCCCCCTTGTCCAGCCAGCTGTCTTTGTGGGTTTCATCAGCACGGTCTTGACCCCTTTGCTCATCACTCTTCCATCTCTGTCACTGGGTTCCAGAAAGCAGAGATTTTAAGGAAAAGGTTTATGGAAACCTACTACTAGGTGCCTTTTTAAAAATTAGCAAATAGTTTTTCCATCCCCATTAGAAGCTTAGCCATTTTAAAGATTTAATATCCAGTGTAGATAAGTGATTGAAATGTCTGTGGGTTATAAACGGTATACTCATTGGCAATTCCTCTCACATACACACAGACAGTCACACACACACACACACACACACACACACACACACACACACACACACACCTACCACCAAGTTGAGACTCCAGTTTCTAGTCAACTAAATGTTAATACGTTTTCCCTTAGTTCCTTTTCTGCCTAGTTTTGTGAAATAGAAATCATTCTCACTTAAGGTCTCATTATTCTTCACAAATCAGAACAATTTTCCAATCATCTTACAATTTTTTTGTGCTAAAGTTTTAGAAATGTTATCTCATATGTATTTTCAAAAGACACATGGATACATTGAAGTATATACATAAAAAGATAACCAGAATAGTGAGGTTTCTACCAACTCATCATGCAAGAAATGTGGATTTCATTTTGTATTCAAGATTTTGGTGTTGCAAAGGCTGAAAGATGCTGTGTATCCTTTTGTGGTCATGACAGTTTCTTTCAGTGAGCTAGAGAACTGCATCTATATATTGAGTAATTATAGAGAATAATTCTTGGACCATGGTTTGACAATTTATCCAATAGTCAGAGAAGCTCATTCAACTCAGCTGGTACCAAGAGCGTTTCAGTGTGTACCATCTTGTCAACAACACAACCCTCACAGGGAGTAGGGGATAGATGGAATGACTTATATCATTCATGACTGGAAGGCTCTGTGATTAGCTCTGTCACAAAACAATTCCCCAACTGATGGCAATCAAACTTCAATGAGTAATGCTTACTCAGCACACTCAGGTGAAGAGTGTTTCAGGAAAGACCATACAACTAGAATCTACTGCTTATGTCAAGCTAACTGGTTAAGTGCCCAGGTTACACATACAACCGAGTCTATACTCTTGAGGTGGCTTCACTTCCTCCATATCGCCATTACCAGATTCAGAAGCTTTTCCTATAGTAATGGAAAAAAGTTCTCTGGGAAGATTGTCTGCATTGAGCTATGTGGAAGAAACAGAATGTATTTAAAATAACCCCTTACCCTACATTCTTTTTAGGTTAACAGTGAATATTCAGGCCAGCTTATATAATACAAATATAATTTAATGAGCTACAGCTATGAAAGTGCTAGAAAATGAATCAAAGTGTAACTTATGTCAGAGGTTTTAGAAAAAATAAAGCTATGTTTTTGTATATTTGAAATAGTGTCACAGCAAGGCAACATATATAATATAAATATCCTTTCACTTTTCACTTTGATTAGAATAGAAATACATATTACACTGGGGTTGTTTGTGTCATGAATCTGGCTCAAGTTACAGTTTGTTCTTTTTTCTTTTTCCTCCTTTTACTAAGGCAGCAGTCAGAGCTCATATTTAGGCTTAATACAGATTTCATTGAGTACACTGGTCCATGATGGAGCTCATTTTATTAGACTTTACACTTGATACAAAGCATCAATTGCAGAGGGTCACACTGCATCTTTCTAGCTGTCACACCAATATCTTCCTGAGTGCCATCTCCAATGTCTCAGGCTCTTTATTTATACTGGAACTCATTTAGTTTGATACAAGCTATTTTCAAAGTGCCTGCAGTACACAAAAAAGCACTTTGTCTCCAGACAGTCCATTGCTGTGGGGATATGAGTACTAGCAAGTTTCTTCTTGGTTGTGGAGTTCCAGACAAATGATGATAAGACCTATGAAGAAAAGCAATCTTAATTCTCATAAAACCCATTACAAGTGACAACAAAAAGGTGTGTCAAAGACAGTTGAATATATCAAGTTTAGACTTCATTAGAAAACAAAGACCAGTTCCCTATTTCTTTTATTCCTCAGCTTGTAACAGTTTTAGTAACAGGCCAACAAGTTTCTAACTCTGATTTAAGGATATGATCTGATAAAATTAGTAGAGGGACTCATATGAAAAGAAGCAGTGTTGATGCTGATGAAGGTGAGTTGCTTAAGAAACTAGCCAGGTGTAGAGGTGGGAGCTTCAGTGAGCCAGGAATAGACTCAGCAATGTCTTCCTTTCAGGAAAGTCTAGCAGCTGTCTATCAACTGGTGCCTTACCAAGCGTCATCAAAGCCCAAGGGACAATGGATACTAAAAGAAATAAATTAAGTTTAAAAGAATGGATAGGAAGCATGGAAACATTTGACAAAGAGAATAGATAGAAAAAAAACTGAACTCCAAGGAGTTGGAAATAGGCCAGTTACTACTTCAGGGGCATGAAAACTCTTAAATTCATCCTCATAGGAAGGGGTCCCTTTTCATATTTGGAACAGGTACACACATGCCTATATATAGTTTGTTTTCCATTTGTTATAATTTAAGTTTTTCTCAAATTTCGTTTTTATTCCCACACTTGCATCACGAATTCTCTAAATGTTTTTGTATCTGCTCTTGGAAAGAATAAACTTTTCAGAACAATATGTTTCCAAACAAAACCAAAGCTAAGGTGCTGTTGTGTAAGCCACCTGGATGTTTCAGAGAAACAGCTTCAGATAACATTTGAATTTTCAGGGAAAGATAGGAAATGATAGGGTGGGTCCCTGGAGTAATGAAAACAAGATGAATCATACTAGCCTATTGGTTAAACTGTCTCTTTCCTGTGTTATTAAAATTTCTTGATTAGATATTGAATACAAGTGAAACCAATTTTAGCATGCAATAATGATTATAGAAAATGTTTGTAGATACTAATTAACCTCACATGAAATTATATCATTACATAACCTATTAAAGTAGACAATAGTAATTCAATGTGATTATTGAAACCCTGCATATGTAGTAACTCTTAAAATTTCCCTCAAATCTAATTTTATAAGCACATGTGAATAGTACTGTTCAGTAGTTATCATGTACTTTGTGAATGGTGCATCAGTATATGCAGAGCAAAATGGTGGTGGCTGGTATAACACATCAAGAACTTTTTGCATGCCTTTAATCTCAACACTAGGGAAGAAAAGGCAGGCTTAACTCTGAGTTTGAAGCTAGCATATATTTTCTTTGAGAGTTGGGGCTAATTAGTAAGACCTGGATTCTACAAAATGTATTTGATTAAAAAAATGTGTTGACATAGTAGCCTAGGTTGGTGTTGCATTTCTGATATTCTTTCCTTATTATTGAAAGTAATAAAAATTAACATTTACTTTGGTGATAGAGATAAATATAAACCTATGTTCTGGGTAAATAAGGCAATGTGTTGCCTTCAAAATTGAAAGTACCAAACCCATGAAGTAGGTTAATCTCTACTATTGTTTAAAAAGTTCATGAAACCAGCAAAAGGTATGGGAACTCCAAAGGTTAAGGCATCATTTCATTTTCGTTTTTCTTCCATTTTTCTCTTGCAGCAGAGTAAGGGAATTATAAAAAGAAAAAAGATTCTAAGACAAAGAGCACAGGTGACCACCACCAGCATGAGGAGCCCAATTCAAATTGGTAAGTGGATGAATACAACTTTGTGCTTCCTTTTTTTATGTCATGACTTCTGTTGGTACTGTTTTGTTTGTTTGCTTGCTTGTTTGTTTGATTTTGTAATGCAAATAGTTCCATGGAATATTGATTTTAGAAATGACGATGCTTCTAAAATTTTGACTGAAATTTATTCTTGTGATTTGGAAGACATTATTTCACTGAAATTGCATTCCCTTTAATCAGCTTCTCCACCAAAATTCTTCCTTCCCAATTCCCTCAGCCCTTACTAACCCATTTTACATTCTATTTCTATTAGTTCGATCTTTATGAATTCTGCATATGAATAGGCTCATGTAGTGTTTTGCTTTTTGTTCTTTGATAAAGTTCTGTCTTCCCTGGGGACTAAAAGGTTAACTTTTATGTGGGAAAATTAAAAAAGTCTTAGAAGTTGTGTGGGACTTAAAAGTAATAATGGGAAAATGTTTGCATTTATTGAAGTTTAGTTTCCTCATTTTATAGCAGGTTTGCCTGGTTAGATTTCTTAAGGGTTAACCAAGAAACTGTATGTCCACGTTTTAGTGAGTTTCCTCTGCATCTGAAAAGAATTTAAAGACATCAGGATAGCTCATACTGAGTATTTTCCACATGACAAGTAATCCAGCAAAGATACTTTAATATATTGCTTTGTTTACCTGTCACTATAAACTGAAACATGGTAGGTATAATGACCCTTGCATTAGCAGACAGAGAAACTGCCCTGTCAACGTGTCAGTGAATTGCCCTGGAATCTCTGTATTTTCTGGGAGTTTTCTGATCCATTTCTTTTTGGTGGCAGTTTCTGCTCTTGCATTGATTTATAAAGCCAACACTTTAGAGTGGTTGAGATACACTAAGTTTCTTTTAGCCAAGATGCCACGCTACTTTCCAGAGGATAATTACTTAGAATATTATGCTTGTGTGTTTATATGCCATCCTATAACTTACACATGGCTTATAAATATGTAAATGTATCTAGTATTCACAGGTTGATATTCAGTCTTTCAGTTTTCAGAGATAGGGAAGTAGCAGTCCCAAAAGGTTAGCTGGCTCACCCGATATCTTATTGCTCTGAGCTTCTCAGACTGTCTTGTAGTTCAGGGTCAGTATATTTTTTATCCATTGCAGACTGAGTGTTTTTGTAAGATTACTGAAGCATATTTGCAAGAGATGTGAGAGGATTTGAAAGTAGGAGGTACAAACATCCACTTTTAATTCTCATTGCTGTCAAATAAAAAATAAATGCATTGCGTTTTTAGGAATGTGTCCAATGGTTTCTCTCAAAATCAACATTCCTTAAGATGTTATCAGTAAACGGTTTACAGACACCAGTCTGTAGATTATAGAGCAGTGTCAGCACTGACAGAGGAGTGTCAGGAAGGCTAAATCTGAGTCACACTGCGAACTTCTAGCTCTTGTCTATTCCTGTTGCTCTAGACAAGCATTAACATACAGCAAGAATTCTGCCTTTTGATCTGTGGAGAAAGAAGATTGGATTCCAAATTGTTAAAATGAAGCTGGTATAGGAAAGTGACAAGGCCAACATTCCTGGAAAGAGAGGCTTCATCCAACAGATAGGAGGTGAAAGGCCACTGGAGTTGATAGGAATGACTTCTAAATTTCTATATATGATTTATAAAATTTGAGATATGTTGTTGAATTGCTGAAGGAGTTTTGATTTATTTTTTTCCTTTTTAAAAATATTTTTATCATTTAAAGAAAACTTGGGTTGTATTAAGAAGACCAGGACTTTTCAGTTTCCAAGCACTGCAGATTTAGGTGGCTCTTGGCCTGCTCTGAAATAAAAATGAACTGTGTTTTCACACTGTACTGAAGAGGCCTGGAAATAAATGTTACTTGTTCATTTCAAAAGCTACCAAAGGAAATCGGAGCACTATTGTGTGTAAAGTGAAATACACATTGAAGCAGCAGTGAGAATTTCCTTTGCTAGATGTGTTTTGCGGCTTTCTAGATTCTTCTAAAAGGGATCCAAGTATTTACATGTGCTGTCTTATTAATAACTATTTTATCACCATACTATTTAAAAATAGCTTATGGTTTGAGTAAATACTGGAGAAAGGTTTGGTTTTTCTTCTAAATGATATTGATTTCCTCCTGACATTTTTTTAAGTCAGGAAACTAGCGTTGTTCTTTAAGTTTCACTTGCTTAATATTGATTTATAAGTTTAAAATGACATACTTAGGTGATAATTATGTAACAATAGATCTTCAGCTACACACATACATCATACACATCCACAGATACATACATATATGTGCAGGCTGTAAGAGGCTTAAGGTTAAGGTAAGATATAAATTTATAACACTCACTCAGCCATCATTAGAGAGGTTTTCTCCTAAAGTAGATGGGATAGGAATAAATACAAAATCCCTACAGTCAGACATTATGCAGAGAGAGGGAGAAGGAAAAGAAGATGAGAGAGATGGGGAGAGAGAGAGGGAGATAGACAGATAAAGAGAGAGAGAGAGAGAGAGAGAGAGAGAGAGAGAGAGAGAGAGAGAGAGAGAGAGAGAGAGAGAGAGAAAGAGAGAGAGACCTTGGAAACACATAGCACTCTCAATGGGAGGTCTCCATCAAATCACTCCCCTAGAGACTCAGGGAACTCCACGGAAGAGGAGGCAGAAAGACTGTAAGATCCAGAGGGGATAGAGGGAACCAAGATGACAATGGCTTTTAAACACAGCAGTGCTGGCACACATATGATCTCACATAGACTGTAGCAGCATGCAGGGATCCTGCACCAGATGGGGTCCCAATGCTGAGAGGGATTCTCATCCCTAACCCAGAAACTATCTGCAACTGACAACTTCTTACAAAGGAAAATGAGTTTTCTACAATAGAATCACTGTCTATACAAACTGTACCAGAAGGCAGGTTCCATGACTAGCAGTAGATAGCCAACTAAAATAAACTCAATCACATTTTTGGAGGCTTTTTGCTCATCATGTTTTGTCAGAGCATTTTTCTAACATTATATGTCCTTTACATATATACTATGTTTTCTGTTTTCCTGTTTTATGAGATTTCTGTGTGTGCAAACCTGTGTCTCTGCATCTATATGTGTTTCTTCCTTTGGCTCTTTTTCTTGTTTGTTTGTTCTGCTCTGTCCCTGTCTTTATCTTTCTCATTTTATTGATATAGATCCATATTTGTTTTCTAACCAAAAGAGAAAGAAAGCATGTGGATTTGGATGTGAGGGGAGGTTGGGTGGGGGTAGAAGAGAGGAAACTATGATCAGAACGTATTGTATGGAAAAAATCAATTTTCAATAAAAGAAAAATGGGAATTAAAATTTATGACTATATTTAAAATGACATTAATCTCTTGTTAGCTTCTGAGAAGCCTCTACATCATTAACCTGAAATTCACAATTAAATAGAGTCTACCTAAGGCCTTAAGTAAGTAAAGGAATGATTACCTGTATGTGTTGTGTTCAGAGAAGGAGAGGCATAATCCAGTCTGGCATTGGAAATGGGACAAGAATTGTTTGTCCATGTGTGTGTAACACTTCATTAGGTCAAAGTGCGAGGGCTGTACATACAGGAAAGAAAAGGTTCCACAAGCATACTGGTTCAGATCCTTTATATGAGCAGGCATTTGAGCATCTGAATTGGACCTCTCACATCTTCATTGGCATTAAGGCTTGAAGTTGTTTATGCCAACATAATCTTTGGTTGCAAATCGTAGACTTTTCCTGTTAAAGTTCAAGTTATCAGGGTTGAAAAGGGTTGGAGTTAATCTTATCCCCCATCTACTAGCAAATAAGACATCTTCTCGGAATTTGAAGAATGTCAGATATGAAAAAAGAAAACAATAGCAAGAATATCAATGAAACCTGTCTAGATCTAGATTATGGCTTGAGAGAGAGATGAATGCCTCAGAGGACAAGCCTTTGTAGGACAATAAGATAATAAAGAACCAGAAAAAGGCACATTAGGAAGTTGTTTGCTAGTCTTCTGAGTTTATTGAGTGACCTGTGAATTAAAGCTTAGAGACTGAAAAACAGGAACTACAAAGAACTGAAAGTAAATTGAAATACAAAGGAGCATTTAAATCTGCCTTTGGAGGCAACAAAGAAACATCTTTGATTGAGTGGTTCACAGCTTCTTCAGAACCACAGCCAGCAAGGGCAGATGAAGAATGTGTGAGGGGCAAAAATGATCAAGATGGAAGAAGAAATAAAGAGCAGCAGGAATTGATGCTTTAAAATAAATTTAAAAACAAACAAAGAGGAAGTTAAAAATCACCAGGCAATTTTTTGTTGAAATATAAATGGAAAAGATTTTCAACATTGTAGACATTACCTACTATGATCTCAGGATTTTGGGTTAGGGATGATGCTATTGGGATGGTAGATCTTGTTGCTTGTTGCTCTATTGAAAATAGCTTAATAGCTTATTTGCATATTGTACCAGAACAAGAGACAGAGAATTTCTAAATCATTCCCATAAAAGCATTAACAATTTATATTTAAAATGATAAAAACAAAATACAGGGAGTAGTCATATCAAATTTATCTCCCAAGATTGCCAAAAGAAATATTTTTTCTTGGTGCCACAGGCAGAGTTCCTGGATTGACTGGTTTCATTATTGTTATTATTATTGTTGTTGTTATTATTTTGCATCTTGGCTTCAGTTTCCCCTCCCTCCACTCCTCCCATTCCCTGTCCCAACTGCCCAACTTCCCAAATCCACTCCTCTTCTGTAATATTTATGCAGAAGTCCTGGTGTAGACCCATGCAGGTCCTGTGTTTATTGCTTCAGTTTCTATGAATTCATATGGGATTTGTTCAGCTGATTTGTAGGTACTTGTTCTCCTGGTGTCCTCCATACCCTCTGGTTCTTATATTCCTTCTGCCTCTTTGTCCATGGGGGTTCCTGAGCTCTGAGAGTAGGGATATGATGGAGACATTCCATTTAGAGATGTGTGTTCCATGGTCTTTCTCTATATAATGTCTGGCTATGG